CAACACCCAGGCTCGCCTTCTACTAACAGGTACGCCTTTACAGAACAACCTTACAGAATTGTGGTCTCTTCTCTTCTTCCTCATGCCTGCCGAAAACGGAGTGGGTGGCTTTGCAGACCTACAAGAATTTCAGGATTGGTTCCACAAACCAGAATCCCAAATTTTAGAAAGCGGCAGAGATCAAATGGATGAAGAGGCGAGGGCAATCATTTCCAAACTTCACAAAGTTCTTCGCCCGTACTTGCTGCGCCGCCTCAAAGCAGATGTCGAGAAGCAGATGCCGGCCAAATATGAGCACGTTGAGTTTTGTCGCCTATCAAAACGGCAGCGTGAGCTTTACGACGGGTTTCTTTCGAGATCGGATACCAAAGAGACTCTGTCATCTGGCAATTACTTGTCTATTATCAACTGCCTGATGCAGCTGCGCAAGGTTTGCAACCACCCAGATTTGTTTATCGACCGGCCAATCATGACCTCTTTCCGCATGTCTAAATCGGTACCGGTCGAATACACCTTTACGGAGCGCAAGGTTCGATCACTTCTGGCGGATACGCCAATGAACACAGTCAATTTAGGATTCTTAAATCTCGTGCCTGCGCAACACGAGCAATTAAGCAGCGTCAATGCAGATCGAATCGCTCAGCTTAGTTCGCATCGAGCACTGATGGACTTGCGTGAGGCACAAAAAGTCAGGGCTCAGGCCGGGTATACAATTATTGATCCCTCCACGGTAGGGTCCAGCATTTCGTATCTGGAGAGCGGAGCACGATGGGGTCGGTTCGAAGAACTCCAACATTGCGTGTATCTCAATGCCCTCCGACGGCAGCAACGACCAGTTTATGGCAAGAATGTCGTTGATCTCGTGTCGATCCATGCGTACAAGCGCCCTTGTCGGCCCAAGCCCAAGATCCCTCAAAAGATCATGTCCTGGTTCGAGGGTGACCTCGCCTTCGTCCGTGCCTTGACGCCAACCCTTGACCAACGTGCCGACACTCTCAAATCTACAATTTCCAAGTTCTCGTGCGTCACACCACCCGTTGTGACCCGAGATCTGGAGCAGGTACTGTTAGGCCCCAAAGCAGTCCAAGCTTTCACGGATGAAGATCTCAGGCTCTCGACTCCTGTGCGATGGGCGCCTTTTCTACCCAAGCAAGCGCCACCTGACCCTTGGCATGAATCTCGTATGAGACACAGCATTCAGTTTCCGGATAAGCGACTCCTCCAATACGACTGTGGCAAGCTGCAAGTCTTGGATAAGCTACTTCGAAAACTGCAAGCTGGCAGCCACCGAGCGTTGATATTTACACAAATGACCAAAGTCTTAGACATCCTAGAGCAGTTCCTCAATATTCACGGACACAAGTACCTTCGTCTCGATGGCGCAACCAAGGTAGAGCAGCGACAGATCTTGACAGACCGATTCAACAATGACCCTCGCATTCTCTGCTTTATCCTGTCGACAAGATCAGGCGGTCTGGGTATCAATTTAACGGGTGCCGACACCGTCATCTTTTATGACCAAGACTGGAATCCAGCTATGGATAAGCAGTGCCAAGATCGATGCCATCGTATCGGCCAGACACGAGATGTGCACATTTATCGGCTTGTCAGTGAGCACACAATTGAAGCAAATATTTTGAGAAAGGCTTCACAGAAGCAAATGCTGGACGACGTGGTGATCCAAGAGGGAGAATTCACTACGGACTATTTCAACAAGATTTCTGTCAGAGAAGTGTTGGAGGACAAGGTAGACTTTACCAGTGAAGGCGTGGCCGCTGCAGATGCCGCGCTGGAGAGGGTCCTAGGCGGTCCTGATACAAGCAGAGACCAGAAAACTGTTGGTAGAGCACTTGAGCAAGCTGAAGATAGAGAAGATGTTGCAGCAGCGCGAGTGGCTGAAAGAGAGATTCAGGCCGACGATGCTGACTTTACCGAGAAGACCAACGGTACGGCCTCGGGTACATCAACGGCACGACAAGGCACGCCGGCTGGGAAATCTGTGATGGACAGCGGCTTGGACCTGGAGGAAATGACACCGATTGGCGAAGGCGAAATCGAGTATAACGCGTACGGTGATAGCATGGGCAATATCGATCAATATATGCTCAAGGTCATGACGGAGGAGCTAAAACATACGAAGCTGGAGCTGCCAAAGGACAAGAAAAAGAGCAAAAAGAAGGGCCGAGACACGAGAAAGCGCTGAGTCTGGTCAGCCTGTCGAAGCGGTGGTTTTTTCATATGGCCAAACCGCCTCCGACTCCCTATAATGGCTACGGCTTATACTGATTTTCTTGGTCTATTGTATTATAGTAATGACCGCGGCTACGGCGTGTACGGTACTGACAGGACGGGCTTTTTTTTGGGTAGGGCTACTACGCTCCTAAAGTAAGGTATTGTACTGCAGCCGGGGCGGCTCATGGTTTTGGTTTTGCATGGAGGGGAGTTTGATACCTGTTTGGTTTGGGAAGCAATGGAAGCAGAAACAAAGCGGGCTCTCGTGTATGATAGGCGCATGGGGAAGAGCATAAAAAGGACTAAACTACATGGCTTGGGATGTTGGGCGCTGTATGGTTGCTTGGTTCCCGTGATTGTTGAGTTACCCTGTACCTGATTGCCTCAGCGTCGTGTATAATTAACCACCTGGGCACTTTGCAAGGCCCATTCCTAGTTATTTGGCACAAAGAAAGGGGCCGTTATCAATAGGCATAGTGTCTATTTAAGTTAGGCGGCCCATACACGCATTGACGGTGGTAGTTGCTCTCCTGGTGATGTTGTTCTTGCCCTGCCCCACACCAAGGAGAAGCATTTGGGTGACAACAAATTATCGTCCACGTCATGATGCTTTAGAACCGGCAAAAACTTTTTATTGCTGAAATTCGCCTTAGCTCGAGACATGACCACGGGGTCGGGCTGCCTGCACGTTTTCATGAATCAAGCACGCCGGAGTCCCAGCGGTGGTATTGCAATTGAGAATGTGCAGTTGGTCGGCCATTTTTAGATCGAGCACTCGCACATGATGACCAGATGTCATTCGATGTCGATGTCGGACTCGGCCTGACGTCTGTTGGTTTGCACTTTTGTAGACGGAGGATGGTGATGTGCCGAGATTATTCCCGGTCATTTTGACTGCTGGGGACATGATGTTATGATTACACTCGGGGCTCAGAGTTAAGGAGGGGACATGGAGCGACATGGATGGATGCAGTGCTGGTCGGGCTGTTTATTGGAGCTTTGCCAATGCCCACAGTCAGCCAGTCCGCCTCGGGTTCTTCATGCTCCCAATTCCCAATCCCATTCCCATTACGCATTTTCTCGGGTATCCATCATCGCACCCGTCCCTTCGCGCCTTAAGACCATTCACAGCGAGCCTTGGCACCAACAATTGTCAAGTGGATCCATCATTGATCCCGCCTTCTTTACGTCGTGGCCGAGTTGCGCTGTTGGACGCTGCAACTGAGCAGCGTCTGGCATCTGACTTGTCACGTCTGGCTGCAACTTCTGACGGAATCGACGAGCACCAGGAGGACTAACCTTGAAACATTCGACCTTGCACCTTGACTCTACAAAGTACAGACCTCTCTCGAGTTTCCAGCCTACCCACCTCGGCCCACTACGCTTGCAGCCGCAGCCTCGCGCGTCCAAAGCCTCAACTCAACTCTGTGGATGCCTCATTCATCCTAAGCTTGACGATTCTCCTCATCTGGAGTGATCCGACGAGCCAACTACCTTGTAGTCCGTACGCAAGCACGTACTGTCTTCTGCTCCCCCGGTTGACCGAAGCCTTGGGGGTTATTCCAACATCTCCACCTCCGTTCCGAACTAGTTAGATACCCCGGACGTCGCACACCGACTGCCCAACGCCCTTCCACAACTACCGATACAATACTGGCGCTGGCTGCTGTTCTCCTTTCTTTTCTGTACATTATTTTTCTCAGCTTCTCAAGCGACGGAGCACATCAGCTTGATCACAGCCCTGGTGCTCTTATCGCGCAGGGTTGACGCGTAATCAAGGCATGCAATCAGCCAAGGGGAAGGCTGACGTGCAGGGGCGCAAGGCCAAGGTACGGACCATCGTGTTTGGCTCGGTGGTTTTGACAATATGACAAGCCCGCTTTACCAACAATCGATGCCCCTCCAAGGTCATCATGAGAAGCTAACTCTTTTTCCTTTTGCATAGTTGGCCAATTCATATCAGCAGTTGTTGGAGTAAGTAGCTATCAGCGTTTCCGAGCTGCCCCCTTTTGTGAAGGCGATTGTCAACACCATCCCGCATACTCTTGACTGGTGCTAACAAACATGCTTTGTCCAGCGAATTCTCCAGCAGCGAGCTGAAATCCGTTGGAAATTATACTCTCGGCCGATTGATAGGAAAGGGATCATTCGGAAAAGTTTATCTTGCGACGCATAAGCTCACTAATGGGTCAAAGGTATGACGAGACTTGTGGCACACCGTCCTGTGCCGCATGCCGCCGCGCACCAACATTCATGCGTTAGTTTGGCTGAAACTGACTGTCTCTGCTTGCTGCGACAGGTTGTTTTAAAATCTGCTCATAAAGACGATGCCAATCTTGCTCGCGAAATTCACCACCACCGACAATTTGTTCACCCGCATATTGCGAGGCTATACGAGGTTATTGTGACCGAAAACTTGGTATGGCTCGTGCTCGAATATTGCTCTGGTATGTAATTCCTCGGCGGCAGGAGGAAATTAGTCAACATATCTCGACTGACTTGGCCAAGGTGACGAATTGTACAACCATCTCCTCCAACATGGACCACTCCCCGTGGCCAAAGTACAAAAGATATTTTGTCAGCTTGTCGGTGCTGTATCATACGTCCACTTACAGTCATGTGTCCATCGCGATTTGAAACTCGAAAATATCCTGCTCGATAAAAATGAGAACGTTAAACTCGTCGACTTTGGCTTCACGCGAGAGTACGAAGGTCGCACCAATTATCTGCAAACATTTTGCGGTACAATATGCTACGCAGCGCCCGAGATGCTCAAGGGGGAGAAATATGCCGGCGAAAAAGTAGATGTTTGGAGTCTGGGAATTATATTATACGCGCTGCTGTGTGGGGAATTGCCCTTTGACGACGACGACGACAACATTACACGAACGAGAATATTGTCCGAGGAGCCAAAGTACCCTGAACATCTTAGTCCCGATGCCGTTTCCTTGCTCAAACTCCTCCTTTCAAAACGACCTCTACCTCGACCGTCATTTCCTGATATCCTAGCACACCCCTTCCTTGCAGAACATGCTCCTGCACAACAAGCAATTCTCGAAATCAAGGCACACCCCCCCTTTTCCACGGCATTAGAAAAGGATTGCCTGGAGCGTATGCGAAGTGCTGGGGTCGATATTGATGCGGTAATCGAAAGTGTCTTGGCGCAAAAATGCGATGCATTGGCCGGCTGGTGGACATTACTATTGGAGAAGGAGGAACGGAAGATGTTGAGGAGGGATCGAAAACGACAAGAAAAGGAGCTAGAGAGGGGCCTGCGAAGATTATCTGCCGCCTCGAGCAGACTTGACCGCATGGCGCCAATTTTGCAGGATGTGGATGAGGATGCAGGCCTGACAAGCCAGTTTATTAGACTCGGTGAACATGGCTCCAGAAGAGGAAGGCCAGAACGAAGGAGCGCACATTACCATGGCGATTTTACAGTGACAGACTTGCCATTGCTTCCAGAGTCTGGCCGACCTCACAATGACATTCCGCCGACACCAATTGACAAGGACTCAATTCGGTCTGTGTCTACTTCACGGCACCGCCGACCCATCCCACCACCAAAGGAGGGCGTGATTCGCAGCGCCAGGTCCCGTGGATCTACACTGCATTTGGTAACAACTTCGGATACGCTTGGCGTCAGAAGCAATGGCAGTGCCGCGCAAAATACCCAACAAAATGGGCAGCAAAAGACGAAGAAGAAGCCCAGCCAAACTATCATTGCCCACTGGAAGAATCTGTCACATTGGTTTATTGAAAATGCGACGAAGCGGAGAAAGGGCCACGAAAGACGAACGAGTCGAAGTACGCCCAACTTGCATCTAAAGGATAGCTCTGGTAACAGCGGTGGCAGGGATACCAGTCCAAGACCTCAGACAAGCAAGTACCCGACTACAAGTTCTGTTGATAGCGGCCATCCAACAGCATCATTGCCAAAGGGTGTCGTAGCGAATGGCTTGACCAAAGGAGGGCCGGTCAATGGCCAAGCCAATATTCCCACTAGAACTCCTTCGGGCTCATCTGTCCCTCCATCGGCTCACATACAACCTCTCCGACCACGAGTAGCGAATTCTTCATCCTACAAGCGCCAGTCATTGTCTCCCGCCCCTGTTACTCCTCGATCTGCTATGCGTCGATCTTCTGCCGGCTTGCGAGGAAGAAAGTCCACTTCGTCATCTGTCTCTTCCATTCGATCTATGCACCACCACCGTCACTCGCATTCCAAGGCTTCATCGACTAGCTCAGCCGGTTCCGTCTCGACGTCGAAAACTCCTCTTGGACGCGGACAGTCTCCTCATCATTCCGTGAAGGTGTTGCCGGCTACACCGACGGCCAATTCGTTCCCCTCCAACATTCGTCTTGTTCGGGGGTCTCCAGCTCCGCCTCCGTTGCGTATTTACGATGAAGGAATGCCGAGCGGGAACCAACAGCCGCCTCCTGGTTCGCCAAATCCCTTTTCTTCCGGGGTGCTATTTGCCAAGCGAAAGAGAAACATATTCAAGGGGCCGTCGTTGAACTTTGGCAGCGCTGGCCATCACATCAGCCGTAACGCAAGCTCAGGATCCCATTCGCGCAGCGGAAGCGGCTCAGCGCTAGGTCGGCGATCGGGAGAAATCACCATTCAGGAAGAAGATGAGGAGCAGCCGGTCGTCGAAGAGGACGAAGAAGAGGAGGAGGATGAGTTTGAAGAAGTCGAGTCTTTCCAGCCCATTGTCGGGAGACCAGGTGAGATTATCGAAGAGCAGATTCTCGAAGACGAGCCGTTGCAGTTGGCCGATGTCAAGAGTCCAACAGCCGAAAATGCACCCACAACGGCAGCAGTAGACGCAGCCAAGTCGTAACTTGAAACGCTTGGCTTAGTGTTTTGACAGAAGTGGATGGCTGTCGTTGTTTACCTGACTTTGATGACCCCACTATATATATCCCTTGGGAAGCATTTGCGCTGCTTCTCAGATACATTTCATACCTGCATTTTGTTTTTGTTAGGTTGCATTTGGGATGGAGAATTGTGCATGTAGCTTGGAGGAATATACCCGTGTACGGCTATGGATACCGTGAATGTATTTTATTAAGTCGATTTAAAAAATAGAAAAGGGTTCAATGCAGGACATCTAATAACACTGTATTTTGTCCGTACCTAGGCCAGGGTAAAGCTCCCTAAAACACTTACTGATATCGGCCACAGCAATGAAAAAACCTGGAAAGAAACTAATAACTTAACCTGCATAATAACACGATACTTAACGCAAGCGAGTCAACAAGCAACTCACTTATATTGGGCATCGTGTTATTATGCAGGTTAAATTACTGGTTTCTTTCCAAGTTCAATTTGACTGCTGTGGCCGATGTCAGCAAGTGCTTCAGAGAGCTTTTGTATTTTATTTGATGAAAATTGTGTCATCGACTATTATTTAATTTGTCCACTTGGTGGGAGGCACTCTGCCTGTTGTCTGACACCTGTATACCTGTCCGTTGCCAGCACAAAAGGTCTCAGTGGGCTACAGCAAATTTCTACATGCTCTGTAGGTGACGTCACAGGCCATAAAATGTGTACTTGATAACGTGTCGTAAATTGGGTATAATCCTACGCCGGCCCTGGACAATAATATCCAACACCACCCCTTCAGGCCGTAGCCAGGAAATATGAAACAGAATTCCTCCGCCCCTACATCGTAGATCGTCATTCCTCGTGCGTACGTCTCTTGGCCGCAACACCCATTCTCATCCTCTCCACCACGCCGGCCTTTTCCTCCCTCAGCGTAACCCACACCCAAAACCAGGCAATCATTTCAATAAACACAAAGGTGAAGAAGACGCGGTTCTTGAGACCGTCGCCGCCCCACGAGGCGGCCGAGTATGAGGCGTTGTAGCCGCCACGGGTACGGTGTGTTGCGCCGCCGTAGAGAGGGGACGACGGGCCGAACGTGTAGGTGTAGAAGGTGAGTGTCATGGAGAGGAAGGCTCGCATGGGGGCTGGGAATCCGTTAGCAACTCCATGGTGCGAGTACGGCTGGCGGGAAAGAGTACCTTGTGTCCCCCAGTAGTACAGGGAGCCTAGCTCTTCGGGCATACCCAGCGAGAGGAGGTCGCTGAAGCCAAAGAAGGCGAGGACGACGGCTAGAAAGCTGAGGGTGTGCGATTGTGTGTCGAAGCCGCGCGCGAAGGGCTGTTGTTGTCAGTCGTGTTGTTTTCTTTCTTTCTTGGTTTTGCGGATGGAGAGATTGGGTTGCCGTGGTTGCTTACGATTCCCATGCTTTGGCCGAGGACTTGGACTAGGATTTGGTCGTTGATGGTGCTGGGATTTGTGAGGAAGAAGAAGCCCAGGGTGATGTGGAAGAGCGATATGGAGGTGATGAGGGTTTGGGATGTTATGAGAGCCATGGCGGTGGGTACGATGGGTTGTTGATTGTTGGTTTTGGACGGTAGCAGAATGGTGAGTTTGCTAATTGCCTGACGAGATGGAGGAGTATTGGTTTCGTGATGTGATGGAGGCCGATTATAGAGATGGGGCGTTTGCAAAGGCGAAGTGGTAGTGTAAATGATTATAGAATGGTCGATACGGTCGTCCGAAGCGACATGGGACGAGGACACTTTTTTTTTGAATTGATGTTTCAGAATCGCAGAACGGGAAACAGAGGCTGGAAGAAACAACGATGTGTAGCCTACAGAGTAGAACGAAAGTGAATTCTTGGTGCTGGAAAGCTTGGGAAGCCGGTCGGTTCGTTGAACGATGGACTTCGGGCGCAGAGTCACACGGGCTTTAGAGACAGCTGGCTTTGCGACCAGCGTCACTGGCTCCGGTGGTTGAGGATGCGACACGTATTTCGGTCGACTTGTAGAGTCTGGACAGGGGTAGTCGGTAGAAAGGGACTGGAATGCAGGGGCGTGGTACAAGAAACGGTGTGGCGTTGAGCTTCTTGGATGTTGGGATGTTTTGTCCCGACATGGGAAGGGTGGAGGAGTCAAGAGGCCGTGCCGGCCTGTACATACATGTACGGTACGGAGTAGCTGCAGGTGACGTTGGAGCTTGAGCTTCGCTGGAAACCTGGTGGGGTGGGGAAGGGGACCTGAACCCCTTCAGCCCTTGTTCACAGCACCATCATCTTCAACGTCCGCGATGTTGCATGCAGAGTGACTGGCATGATGTTCATATCTGCTAGACAGAAAGACTGCTCATAGTAGACAATTGCACCTGGCGCCCAGCACCATGGCGTCCCTCGACAAGCCACGGCATGTCAAGTACTGGCAACGCTGCTTCACGAGCTATCTCCCTTCGGCATACACAGCCAACGAGTCCACCCGCCTCACATTCGCATTCTTCATTGTCTCGGCCCTCGATTTGCTTTCCGTTCCGTTCACCCCGAAGGAGCTCTCATCCATTCGTTCCTGGGTGTTGAGCCTGCAGCATCCCGACGGCGGCTTCTGCGGCAGCCCAACCCATGTCTTATCAGGACAAGATGCGACAAAGGGGTCAGCAAACCTGGCTACGACTTTCTTCGCCCTACTATTGTTAGGCGTTTCCGCTGGAACAGACGAGGAGGCAAGAGCGGCCTTTGCAGGCGTACAGCGGCGCAAGCTACTCCGGTGGGTGAAGAAGTTGCAGAGACCGGATGGGAGTTTTGGCCAGGTATTGTGGGAGGGAGAGGCTGTGGGTGGAAGAGATACCCGACACAGCTACCTGGCGAGTGCAATTAGGTGGATGCTACGTGGGGAAGGGGCCGAGGAGGATATTGACGTTGAGAGGATGGTTGATCATATACGACATACGCAGGTAAGTTTTTATAAACATGGCATTCGGCGTGAGTAGCTAATTGTGTGGAGACGTACGATGGCGGCGCAGCAGAGATGTCGCAACACGAGTCTCACGGTATGTAAGATGACGCCTTTTTCGATTCTAAATACATGCTAATGGGAGAAGCCGGCTATGCCTACTGCGCGATCGCAGCATTGTACATGCTCGACCGTCCTGCCTCATCAACAGCGCCACATAAAAGCGAAGCCGTCGACAAAGGGGTGCCAGATCGCGATGCGTTGATTCACTTTCTTGTTTACAGACAATTCAACTACCTCGTTGAGCAAGAGCAAGATGAGTGTGATGAGGGAGATGCGAATTACGTGCAGGCTAAACTTGGCGATCTGAGCTTGGGACATCACTGTGCACATGTGGGATATAATGGGCGGTGGAATAAAAAGGCGGACACTTGCTATTGCTGGTGGGTTGCCGGGACCCTTGCGGTAGGTAGATGGTGGTTGATATCACTGAGTGGTGATGAGCTTTGCTGATGGTGAGTAGATGGTGGACAGTTTTGACGCCGTCAACATTGCCCCTTCTAGGCAGTACCTCCTGGATGTCACACAACATCGAATAGGCGGCTTTTCAAAACATGCCGGTGGGCCGCCTGATTTGTATCATTCGTATCTGGGATTAGCGGCGCTGGCGCTGATGGGTGACACCGACTTGAAGGAGTTTGATGTTGGGTTGTGTTGTAGCAAGGAGACGGTGCGGAAGATTGAGTTGGCAAGGGCTAGCATATTTGGGAACAGGAAGGGTGACTTTGACGGCGATGGTTTTTGGGAGAGCATTAAAGAGGCGGATTAATTTCGTATACGAAGACACGGGCCCTCGTGGCACAATCATCACTTACGTGATTTTGTACTGTGGATGTTTATTGTACTGTGCGAATGATGCGAATGACGCCGGTATTCGCCATTGCCGATATTTTGCCGTGGAATGACTTCATGCCAACCTAGAGTCTGGAAATCATCCTAACCACATCACCCGACATGTCAGACTCAGCACCCCCGGCGTCCGAAAAGGACCCGTGGAGCATCAAGAGCAAAGAGAAATTCGAGACGTACGCCGCAGATGCCGATACAACATAACGCCGCATTGACTAACGAAATGCAGGAAATCCAAGTCCGAGTTCTACGATCCGTGCCAAGAGGCAGCGCAGCGAAGTTATAAGTGCTTGTACCGGAACGGGGGGGATAAGTCTATGTGCGGAGAGTATTTTCAGTATGCGTTCTCACATGAAATTGGGATCGACGCGTGCTGACGGCCATAGGGCATATCGGGACTGCAAGGCTGCCTGGGTACGTATGGCCTATGGTCAAGATCGCGGGTGTGCCGCGGGCAAGGCTATGATGGACGAACTGCTGACGATTGGTAGACCGAGAGGCGAAAGAAGGAACGCGGGGGCTTCTTTGGATGATTTGGTGTTGGACGACATCAAGATGTGACTGCAGGAGATTGACCCATCCCTGACATTTGATGTCAGGAGAGCCTGGCTTGCCAAGGGCGACTGCCTACACCATAGGGAGTTAATTGGCATCCTTTTCAGCGATGATTGAATAGTGTCAATGTAGTTATGTATGCTATTGTGCGATTAGGAAGGGGCTGGTGGAAGAACGATGCTGGAGGTTTTCTCTCGAAGGGCGTTGTGTGGCTGCGTAAACGGATGCGGCAGACATTGTATACCAATCTCCCTACCATTAGGCCTCTACTATGAGCATTCATATAAGCAAAATCATATTTCTTAAATGCCACGTCGCAAACGACATCTCATAAGAGTGCCGCATGTACGCACAGTGCCTGCACTGTCCTGACAACTTCTCTAGCCCCTCCAAAAGCTGCCCCGCCAAATTTTATGTGAACCAGTCTTTGAAACCTCTACTATCGCTCTCGTGCCCGAAAAGCACACGGCTTCCCATATGCTATGAGTCGTCAACGCCCCCGTTTGCGAAACGGGGTTGATATCCAGCTTCAATCTGCTTTTCAGGATGGCAACTGGTCTGTGGCCATGAGACTGGCCTCCCAACGAGCTCGCACCTTGAACGACCAGTATTTTGATGTAAGAGCTCCAGGAGAATACAATGACAGCAAGCGACAGCTTTCCCTGAAGTCTTAGAACTAACCTGGATTGAAGATTGTAAAAGTATGCGCTGAGAGCCAGTTGGACGACCCCAACGCCAAGTTTGCTGCTGTTGCGGCCGTGGACAAATTTATCAAGGATGGGACGGTGGTAAAGGATGTGGATGGCATTGACTTGTTGGAGTGGGCGACATTAGATCTGATTCCAGAAGATGCATTTTCAGAGACGATTGGGCCACTAAGGGTGAGGGCTGTTAAAGCGGCGCCAAAGGATAAAATTGCGGCCACGAGGTGCTTGCAGTCGTGTCTGTTGCATTGGGACCTGGTTAGCGCTCAGCAAGTATGCCATGCCCACGAAGATTCTAGTCGCGGTGTGAAGCTAATGGACTAGATTGCGGCCATTATCGATAGATCATTTGCCCAAGAGAGGGATTTTATGTTTTGGAACATTGTCATTACTCACATGCTAGCTGTAGGTTGATGGGAGCACGGGCGTTGTATGCAATTGCTGACTGTGGCCACAGACAAGCAGTCAATCGCCCCCGGAGAAGAAAAAGTTGTATGGAATGCTCGCACAAAAGCAAATAGAGCGTGCAGCTCAACTTGCTGAACAGGCGCATGCATCTGAGTCGGAAGAAGCGCCCGCGCGAGGCATTAAAACTGAGGAGGAGATTCTGCTGTTGTATGATATTGTTGAAACGCACGGAATGCCGGACGACGTGAAGAAGCTCATAGAAAGCCCCTTGTTTTCTCCCATTGCCCAATTCCGACTTGGCAGAAAGGAGCTGTTTCAGCGAACGGCAGCAAATTACCGCAAGCAACAAGATTGGGAGGCACTATGCAATCTTTGCGAATCATGCTTGTCACACACAAACGAGAATGGGGAGCTGTCGCTATTGGCCTGTGACTGGCTGGTGTGGAAGAACTTTATTGAAGGCGCATCTTATCTTAAGAGCGTCAACACAGAGTAAGTCTGTCCTGCTGCCACATTATGATTGAGGAGGCTGACGTTGAGAAGAATCGTGGAACGGTTACAAAGCTTGTTGCTTAGGCTGGCGCGGTCCAGTGGTCTGAAACCTATTTACAAGCGAAATGTACTTTTGGCTCGTGTTTCCGCCGCTTTCACGCTAAAAACGAATGATAACGACGACGTCAAAGATGACCAACCCCTTTCACTACGATTGAGGGAGTTACTCAACTATATTCAGGATCAAAAGTCAAGCGCTGCGTGCTTTGACGATATCAAGGAGTTTTTAGAACAGCTGGATATCTCGGGCCTGAAGCACGTCGCGTACATTTACATCGCTCAGTTGGCACAGTCTGTTGACGACCCCATAAAGCGCGCCAGGGTTAGTCTGCTCTCTCTGAAGATACAGTACTTCCTGTCAACTTGTCCAATTGGACGAGTGCCAATCGCCGGGGCGAGACCCAGTTCAAAATGCTTGGTATGCAATGCCAAGTTTGAATCGGAGTCGTGTCCGGCCTGCTTGACAAAGATATCTGAGGAGGCGTTGGCCGCATATAGGTCCGCAAGCAAAGACTTCGGCGAGAATCCCGTTATCCAGAACGAAATTCTGCCCGAACTCTCCGTGGCCGTTGCATTTTGCAATGTCAAATTGGCCTTTCGTAGTCGACCTGGGTACATTCACTCATCTCCACCTGCTTCTCAATATCTCTTGCGGGCTCTGTTTATTCTCGAGCACCAAGCTTTCCTCACGCCTAAACACAGCCAGATTTCCCTTCTACTAGTGCAGCTACATCTTCTCTTGGGGTCGGCACACAGGTCCCGCGAAGCCTGGCATGGTCTGTCTGTAAAGAGAACCATTGTGGACTCGCTTGCGCCCATATTTTATGATCGCTTATCGACTGTATCGCCAATCATTTTGGACTCGTCTGATAGCTGGGGCTGGGAACTTGTTGAGACCCTGAGGTCTCATTATGCTAATTCGCTAAAGCTGAAGATGCCAAGGCGTTTAATTGATGCGTTTGAAGAAGCTAGCTACGGCAGCATCATTGACATGCCCAAGTACGTTGAGAACTTGAGATCCGGATGCACGAGGGCCATGAGTCTTGTTGAGGAGGTTCGAGCAGACAGACTGCTTGGCGAACCCTGCGGCGAGTTTTTGAACGACGCTCGGTTTTGTAAGTTTTGTACTGAATTTCGCCTCAGGCTGTGCTAATTTTTTCTTTTTTTTGCCACACACAGACGAGGTCCCTGATGAGCTGGTACTAAGAAATGTTGTTGACCACGGATCATTTCCGTCGTGGGACTGTTGCTCATCGCGACCAGTCCACGAGCGACTCCGTCTTGGCCCCGGCCCTTCTGTGAGTATAGACTGATTCTCATGTCGACCGTTTGCTGATGATGTAGAATACTCGATGTCACCTAGCACTCCTGGCCGAAGCCTTCCAGGATATTCTGTCATACCGGCCTCCAACAGTCTACAAGGCCACTGCAGCGGTAATGGGCATCGACAACACATTCGTCATTGAAATGATGTGCCGAATTGGCAATTCCATGTCGAAATTCGTGCACAAGGCGTCTGGCCATTGCACCTCGAGCGAGATGCTTTACTACGAAGCTGTTAATGTGCTGGCCACATTGGTTCCGCTGTGCGTGGGCATTGATAAGTCAACACCGCTTCCAGACATCTACAGCCAAATCACCGAGGCTGTCAAAACGGCAATAACAACCCAGCTCGACGAGCTGCCCAAGCTTGACGGTACCGTCGCACACACTGTATCGGCGCTGCGGTCGTTCCACGAGGTAACAATGCTTCGCGACACCGCCATGGCTGCCAAGTTAGCTGCGCAATGGATTTTGTCGTTTAACGAGCGAGAAAAGGAACGCGATCGATCAGGGAGCAGCAATTTGCCGAAGGATGTAGTATCGCAAGTCAAAGGTCTACAAGCTGCTGCTGAGGCAGGCTTGAAAGAGGGCAAGTCGCTGATTGCTAAATTGAAGGAGGAGGTGGGCACTGGAAACGAATTTATTAGAAAGTTACGGCCTTGGGTATTCGAAGATAATGGCAGGGAATTGAGTGATTTGGTGGAGGATGGCACCTTGAAGGAAGTGGTTGAGAGCTGGAGACAAAACCTTGCCGGTTGGGGTCAGGTAAAATGGGCATAGATTAAACGAGGTCTGCAATCAATGTAAAAGCACTTGGAAGTTACGTAGCGACTCGTGAGTAATTGAACCTGTTGGTGGCACGCGGCGAATAGTTGCGGCGTGCTAGGAAGGGTAGACGGCAATTTGCGCCGGTGCCGGATCTATGATGGAAAATGTACGATTGTCGCGTTAGTCTAACTTGGGCTTGTGCGTTTCGCCACTTAACCGCCAGAGCCATGAATGATCTCATCGACATATGGTCGTATCGGGCGTCAAATGACGGCAAGGTGACGTTTGAGCAACGCTCCTGACCCTTGGAATAAATAGCTACTCCCTCTTCGCAAATGGTTCGATAAACACCAAAATCATTAAAATTTCCATCAGATAAGTTGGTATTCTTTTTTCTCTTGTCCCGAAGAACATATCAGTAGCCAAGATGCCCAAGACCGACTCCTCGACGCCACAACACAGCAAGGGCGGCGTGCCGATTCAAAACTCGCAACATACGGCCAAGGACACCAATGACAGTCGTGTCCCGCTGTCTGCAGAGCCGGGGGTCTACAAGGACGATGGTGTTCGACAGGTTCCCCTCTCTGCGGAACCGGGGGTTTATAAGCACGATGATCGGAACAGCCCCAAGGAGGGTACGGCGGGGGAGAAGGGCGTGAGGATAGAGAATGAAGGCAAGGGAATCGCGCCCAAAGTATGATGTTGTGAAGGGAGTGTTGTTGATGTACGTCCTTGAATTTCATGAATCAAGATAAGGGTATGCTCGTGCCAAGATATTAAAAAAAATACAAATCTTTTCTTTGCTCTATATAGACCGGAAGGGATTCATGACGCTGATTTAGTAACGGTACTCACAGTCGTGAGTCGGTAGGGCTCGTCTTTGGGTGTCCAAGGCAATCGTAAGTTGTTGACGAGATTTGGCGAGATAAAATTTCCTTGTGCTCCACTATCGATCATTGCCTGGATCTTTCTTCCCATTATAGTCATATCAACCATGAGGTGTGCAGTACTGCCGATGTTTGCAATACATAGAGACCTGTCAGATCTCCGTCGAGGAATCGGTCTTAATTGCGACGACGGCTGTCGTTTCCCGATTTGTTGATCCTGTCCTCATGTCGTTCTCTAGCGCGTTGTTCTAGGCGCTGTCGTCGGCGATTATCTTCCGGCGTCTTGTTGGAGCTTCCTTGGTGATCACTTGATCTACCATCTGTGTTAATCGAACTCGGGCTAAGCGAGTTGCTCGCAGTCACACAGTTCCCTTCCTCCTTGCATTGTGGGGTTATGGCTTGGGTAGTGTGTGCGTTATCCTTAGCACAGTATAATTTCTCGTTCAATATCTTTGAATCGGTTCGTCGTAATTTCGGTTGTATCGTAAGGGTTGTTCTCCTTCCCTTTCGTTCTCGTGGAAACCATCCGCTACCTTGCTTGCTGCTAAGGTGCGTGTAGCAATTGTCATCGTAACAGAAGGTCCAATTAAGGAGTCTGTGTTCGATTTCAGGTTCGTTTTTCTCAGTTGGATGATTCTCTTCTTCTTGGATCCGTTCCAGTGAAGGTTCACTTTTTGGTGAGGGTGTCCAGTGTTCCCAAAAGTCGTCGGGTACTGGTTGGGTTCCGAATTCCCAATCTTCATCCGAACTGATGTTGTTTGCTGACGTGGGGCTTCCTTCATTGCTTGCCACACTGAGATTTCGCGTGGGTAAGTCTTCTCGGTTTGCGGCATGGAGCTTCCTGCCTTCAGGAATTGGCTTCCATGGCTTTTTCGGGGCTCTGCATTTATTCGCAAAGTGTCCAGTCTTGCCACAATTGTAACAAGTCTTCCCCTTTTCCTTATTCGCGGCGTCAAGTTCCATAGGTCCGGCGTGGTACCCGTATGCTGTCGATGTTCGGCGTGGCTTGCTACTATTAGGTTTATTGAACCTAGCATATGATCCGAATTTCCTGTGACTTTTTTCGTGACGTCGCTCGTATAGACGGTTGTCTGCCTTGATGACCATTTCGACGAAGTCGTCAAATAACTCAGGACGATCTTCTCGATAAATGTCATCCTTCACTTCTTCTTTGAGTCCTTGATAGAAAACTTCCATTTTGGGTTCGGTATTCCAGTTGAGTTTTGCTGCGATGCGTTTGAACTCCCTAGCGTAGTGAGCTGCAGATCCGGTCTGCTTGAGTCGAGTAAGCTGTCGTGTAGCTTCTTTGTGCTCATCAGGGTTTCCAAATGCAGCGAGAAGTCGTTCTTCAAAGGTTTCGTAATCAGAGAAGATGTGGACAACTTCCACTCCGGCTTCGGCGCCGTGCTTAAGATGTGCGCGGAGGGTTGGCTCCCACCATTCCATTGCTTTCCCAGTCAAGAGGTTGCCAATGCAAAGAATCTGTGACTCAGGTGTCGTGTAGATTTTTTCGTTGACTCGTAGGTAAGCTTGGGCTTGTGTGAGAAAGTTCCTCACATCACCCTTGTAACCATCGTATGATTCAGGCTTGGGGAATTTTGGCATGTTGTTGTTGTTGATAGAGGATGCAGGTGTGAGATTTTGAACTGCTGCAAGTTCCTCTTCTCGTGCCTCAAGTTTCTCGTAGAGATCATTCTGTCGGTCGAGAAGCTGTCGATTCTGCTTCTCGAGCTCGGTGATCTTGTCATGAAGGTACTTCATCATCTCCCCGGGGTTGGTGGTCTTTCCGCTTGAAGTAGACATCTTGGAAGTCGTTACTGCTCAAAGTTTCAAGGTAACTTACTGAACAGGATTGATCAAAATGTAACGGTGGCTTAGGTTCTAAGGCACAGTAGGTCTGTTTCTTAGGAAGTAAGTCAGGTTGAATGCTACAGAGTAGCTTTTGAGCAGTATCACAATAAGGCCGTTAAGAGTATAACTCTCAATAGTAAGACTATTGCTTAGATTGATCAATAGAGAACTAGACTATCTACTACGGCGGAATACCCCC